CGCAGAGCGGCTGGGCCCGTGAGCCATGGCTGCTGAGCCTGCACATCCAGAGCCTGTGCTCTGCAATGGGAGAGGCCACAACAGTGAGAGGCCCACATCCCGCAAAAAAAAAAAAAAAAAAAGAGGACTAGGTTCAAATCTTGGTCTCTCTCGCTTCCTATTGAACATAAGCAAGTGGCTTTTGTGAGTCCTGATTTTCTCATTTATAAAGAAGGTCTTATAGTGGTATTTACCTCAAAGTGTCAACACAGTCATATGAAACAGTTCATGTAAAATGCTTGGCACACAAAAGTAGACAATAAGTGGTATATGTTGTTGTATCAGTTTCCTCCCCCGCCGACCTGACATGCTCAGTGATGACTTAGATCATACACTTACATTTCATCTAATTAGAAAATTATGCAGTTTTCTTCAGTTGTGATCATTGAAAAATTTAAGAGTACTAATACCTTTATGTAATACATTTATTACATCACACAATAATAGTTTACTTGTGCTCAGTTTAACTGATTCCTGTGTAGTTTGATAAAGAGGGTCGAGCTATCTCATGATCCTCATTTTTCAGTGGGGAAACCGAAGCAAAGAAAAATTAAGTGAATTGACTAGAGTTACACAATCCATAGCAAAATAGGAAGTTGAGTATTTATATTAAAATTCCAGGGGCTTCCCTGGTGGCGCAGTGGTTGAGAGTCTGCCTGCCGATGCAGGGGACACAGGTTCGTGCCCCGGTCCGGGAAGATCCCACATGCCGTGGAGCGGCTGGGCCCGTGAGCCATGGCCGCTGGGCCTGTGCGTCCGGAGCCTGTGGTCCACAACGGGAGAGGCCGCAACAGTGAGAGGCCCACGTACCGCAAAAAAAAAAAAAAAAAAATCCAAAGATTTAGAACTTTTATTTGAACAGAAGAAAGCAAATTTATATCATAAATTATGTAATTGTACATTATGTATGTAATTGATTCTATAAAGATATTTAACACATTGATTTCGAAAGCAGAGTTTTCCTTTGCAGTTGAGTTTTCATGCTAATAGTGGAAAAGGTTTTCATACACTTTAACTGTATTTGAATTTATTTCTGGAATACTGGCAGAAAAAAAAAAACACTTACTTTTGAATGATGGAAAAGTCTTCCAAAATATGGCAAAGGAAAAAAATCTTCTTCCATGGCACTTAATGCCAAGTTAATGCTTAGCTTAGCTTCTGATACACGTTTGGTGTTTCTTGAGGGCTTTGACACTGCTGTAGTCATCATGCATATTCTTATACAGACATCACATCTTTCATATTTTGTATAAAATTCTATTCTCTGGCCATATATAGTCATTTTGCTATTCACAATTTTTTTACATACAATTTCTCACTTTTGATTTCACCAAGATGCACATTAATTGCCATTTTATTAAAAAATGTCCTGCAAGACAAAGTATTCTTGCTGATAATAAGTACCTGACAGATTAAAACAATAATATGGTGGCCCAATTCCCTAGTCTATTATTCAAAGATCTTTTCAACTAATTAACCAACCACCATCTGCAGACCTGTGAGAAGAATTTCTCTAATTTTATTCCATCTTCCTTTGAGATAGAGAGATGAATGCCTGCTGATCTCATCATTTTAAAGAGTTCCGTGATTTTATCATAAGATAATTCATAAATCCAGCCAACTTGATTAGTCTGTTTATCCCACAGCTCTAGGTCTCCTATATTCACATATGCCATTTCAGACTACCATGGAGTAGAAAGATCTCGCAAAAGAAAAACTTTTACATTATTTTAACAGTGTAGTATCCACGAAATAAACAGTATACTCTTCTCAGTTCACCAAGCAGGTACTTCTTTGTCCTCTCTGGGTCCCCGGTGAACTGCAACTCATTAAACGCAGATGCATTTGGACATCAGAACCCCTCTCTAATAAGGAAAGGGGTCACCTCAAGGAGAAATGCAGAACTGCCGGGCGATCCACCTCCCACCAGAAACCCGCTTTAATGAGCATGTTCTTGCTTCGCAGGGCAATCCTCATGCTCTCACTTTGCTCTCAGGCAGAACACCTGGGATTCTTCAGCCTTGCCATGTGTGGACTACAGCCCAAAATAGGCCTGCTAAGACTTCCAAGATGGATTGCTAGACCCTGTGAGTCACCTCCGAAACCTGAAGCTCTGTGCTCTGTGATTTCTGTTTGCATCATTAGGAGGAGGAATTTCAGCAAAGCTCACCACAATTACTTGTAGCTAATCTTAGCAGATATAAAAGCAAGTGTTTTCTCTTTCCAATCCATACACATACAAAGGGCAAATAAAACCCAGGGTTGCAGAACACTTTCACAGCTACCTTCCTCAACAAAATGCTCATCAACAAAAGCTTTTCCGTATAAATAAATACAGTGTTCCACTAAAAATGAGAAATATATTTCCCAACTTGATGCGGTTTTGAACATCTACCATTATATGCAATGCCAGAAAAGAATGATTAGACCTGGGATATTAAGCATACAGATTTCACACTGGGTCTTCATAACAGGGAGATAGGTCAGGCCCTGGAAGGACCCATGGGTCAGCTGGCATTCTCGTGAGACTAGAGCATGAACCCAATTGGGATCGACAGACTACACAGAACTAGAGTTACCATGCAAAGGCTGTGCTTTACCAAAGTGAACTCCAGTACCCACATCCTGTGTTTTCCCCATATTTTTTGACTAAAGAGACATATTAATGCTAGAGGGCTTTGTTTTGGTATATGTACCAATAGCAAAGTGAGAGGTAGAACCTGGAAGTAACCTGGAAACAGAAAAAGGATGATGTAAGTTAATGGCTTAATAAATATGGATTCAATGATCATTCACATCTAGGTTGCCTCTTATTTAAAGAAGAAGCATATATATTGTTATGTAACTTAATACCTCAAACAGATTTAAAGGTCATAGCAGGTTGGACTGTTTGGGTATACATGTACTCTGGCAAGCAAGAAAAAAGGTAAAGTGAAAGAAAGAAGAATGGGGGGGAAAAAAAGGATGGGAAGTACCAAGTAGGAAATGAAGAGCAGAGAAAGGAGAGGCACGGAAATGGTGATTTTTGGTGGCACAGACTGTCTATTCCAGGTCCAAAAGATACACAAAGGAAAATGTCTGAATAAATTAAGCCATCACCTCTGAATTACTTAGGACATAGGCAGAAAGGGAGAACATGGTGAAGGAAATGAAGATAAAAATTTAAAAAGCTAATTTCACCTGGTGGTTTCAATTTGCCCTAATGATCTAAGCACATTTTTCAGCGCTTAAAGTGTTTATGTCAGGTTCATGGAATTACAATCTTTAATGCCTCACATTCATGTCCAGATGATAAATGACGACCTACATTTCCAACACCCCCTTAGCCAATGTTCTCAAATCACTTTAGCAATATTTGCCCTCACAAACTTTAAGAGTGCCAAGCATTGGTTTGTAGAAAGGAGAAAACAGACTCAAATAAATAAGTGAAATCAGTTGTTGTTCAAGATTACATTGTGAAGGCTGGGGCTGAGTGAAAATACAGATCAACTCGTTCTGTTCACACATGCTATCTTATATCCTTCTTACTTTCTACCAAAGTTATTGGTTCCCAGACTGGGCAAAGCTGTAATTTTAGAAACTTCTAAAGAGTACAGGAATTCTTTTAGACCAAATGTGACTCACAATACAAACACATGAGCAATTGTTTGGTTCTGTAAGTTCCAAGACAGTGCAGGTTTGGTCAGAAATGTAATTACCTTAAGGGCAGACAGTCTAAATAATAACTGGAAGAGGAGGTGTTTTTATAGAACTTAGTTTTCTGACCTCTTTCAGGAGAGAACATTTTCTTAAAGTTTGAAAGGGTATAAGGAGCAGGACATTGATTTGTTCTTACTTCTCTGAGGGAACTGGCAGGAGACTGGTGTCTGGAATCAGCTGGCCAACACTGGTTTGTGAGAGCCAGTTGTTCAATTTTCAGGAATTTTGTGAGCCAGTTTTTAATTAGAGCTATTAATAAAAATTATATTAAATAAGCTTTCAATTAAATAAGTGATAGTAAAAAGATAGGTAATAAATACTCAGAATTCATCACTTCCTAATTATTTTATTATATTTTACTAGTATCTGTACTGTTGAGGTTATTTATGTCTATCATATCTGTATGGTAGGAATGCTATAAATAGCATGCTTCTATGCATCTCTTTCTGATTTCACTTTCAATAACTTCATGTTGGTAACCTGAAGTAGCCAATGGTGAGAGTATTGACACAAGGGAAACCGGCAAGCAGCAGGGCTAATGAACTGTTGTTTTGTTGATTGTCTAGACCAGGGTTCAGAAAACCAGGGCCTGCCCATCACGTATCTTTATAAATAAAGTTTTATTGGAATACAGCATTGCCCATTCACTTATGTATTGTCTATGGCTACTTTCACACTACAATGGAAGAGCTGAATTATTTTGAAAGTGACAGTGTGGCTTACAAAGGGTAAAATATTTAGTATCGGGTCCATGATATAAGTTAGCCTAGCCCTCATCTAGACTTAAAAAAGTGATGAGGAAAATGTTAATAATGCAAATTAAACTAAAAGCATGTTGTTGTTTGCAATTGTTACACTGTGAATAGCACAAAAGACTGAGGGAAGAATCTTCCAGTATTGGAAAATTATTATCTGCTTCAGCAAAATAATCACTCACGTTCTTGATAAGTGAGTGAAATTCCAGCACAAATATGCTAAACTAAGACAAATTTTAGTGTAATGAATATAATCTGTATGGGACTGAGAAACAGTTAACCTAAAACAATAAATAAAACAGCAAGTTATTTTACCAGCAAAATAGGTTTATTCGGGAGCAGCAAACAATTGCAATTTGGGATGTACAAATATGGCAATCCACATGCAAGTCCAGCAAAACAAAGAAGGGGAAACTCTTCTATAGAAGAGAAGGGGAAGTTGGGAGGGGCTGTTATAAACAAAAAGTCCACTGAAGGAAACTGGAAGTTTGAAGTACAGTGGTTTTTCATTGGCTGAGCTGTTGACAGGCAAGGAGAAAAAAAATCTTTCTTCCTCCTTCTGGTGGTAGTAAAGTAGTGTCACTTCCTGCCAGAGATGCAAAGTACGTCTCTTTCTGTTGAGATCTGTAGTGGTGTTGAGTGGTATATGCATGACAGCTCCCCCTTCTGGCCTCCCATCTCCATTTTAGTGAGATTTTCCTTTATTAATTTTCACATTTCTCCCTTTTGATCAAGACCTTTCTCTGAAAGCACTGCTGATCAAGAGTCTGTTTGTTTGTTTTAACTAGCACTCAGTGGCTTTTTATCTCTCAATGCCAGGAAGGACCTTTTCTGGGTGTCATGTCCCCCATCACAGGGAAAGTGCACAGACAGGAAACCTATTGTTGTCACATTTGAGTAATAAGGAAGGGTAGGAGGGATTTGTCTCAGACATCTTTCTAAAGTCTGTATCTTATTCATCTAAGGGTCCCAAGGATGGTTCAACATAACATAAATCAATCAGTGTAATACACCACATCAACAAAAGACAAAAACCACATGATCATCTTAACAGATGCAGAAAAAGCATTTTATAAAATTCCACATCCATTCATGATAAAACCTCTTACCAAAATGGGTAGAGAGGGAACATATATCAACATAATAAAAGCTATTTATGACAAACCCACAACCATCATAATACTCAATGGCGAAATGCTGAAAGCCTTCCCACTAAAATCTGGAACAAGAGAGGAATGCCCATTCTCACCACTTTTATTCAACATAGTATTGGAAGTCCTGGCCACAGCAATCAGACAAGAAATAAAAGGTAACCAAATTGGAAGGGAAGATGTAAAATTGTCATTATATGCAGATGATACGATACTATATACAGAAAACCTTAAAAACTCCACACAAAAGTTAGTCAAACTGATAAACGAATTCAGCGAGGCAGCAGGAAACAAGATTAATACACAGAAATTGATGGCATTTCTTTACACTAACAATGAAATATCAGAAAGGGAATGTAAAAAAAAAAATCCCTCTTAAAATCACATCAAAAAAAAAATACTTAGGAATAAACCTGACCAAGGAGGTGAAAGACTTATATGCTGAGAACTATAAAACATTAATAAAGGAAAGTGAAGATGATTCAAAGAAATGGAAAGATATCCCATGCTCTTGAAGAGTACTGTTAAAATGGCCATACTACCCAAAGCAATCTACAGGTTTAATGTGATCCCTATCAAATTACCCATGCCATTTTTCACAGAACTAGAACAAATAATCCTAAAATTTACATGGAACCATAAAAGACCCAGAATTGCCAAAGCAATCCTGAGAAAAAAGAATAAAGCAGGAGATATAAGCCTCCCAGACTTCAGACTATACTACAAAGCTACAGTAATCAAAACAGCATAGCACAAAAACAGACATATGGATCAATGGAACAGAATAGAGAGCCTGGGGAAAAACCCACACACCTACTGTCAATTTACCTTCAACAAAGAAGGCAAGAATATACAATGCAGAAAAGAGTCTTCAGCAAGTGGTGTTGGGAAAGCTAGACAGCCACATGTAAATCAATGAAGTTAATTCCTCACATCCTACACAAATATAAACTCAAAATGGCTTAAAGACATGACACCATATAACTCTTAGAAGAGAACATAGGCAAAACATTATCTGACATAAATTGTACTAATGTTTTCTTTGGTCAGTCTCCCAAGGCAAAAGACATAAAAGCAAAAATAAACAAATGGGACCTAATCAAACTTACAAGCTTTTGTAGAGCAAAGGAAACCATAAACAAAACGAAAGACAACCTACGGATTGGGAGAAAATATTTGCAAATGATGTGACCAACAAGGGCTTAATTTCCAAAATACACAAACAGCTCATACAACTCAATAACAAAAAAATAAACAACCCAATCGAAAAATTGGCAGAAGACCTAAATAGACATTTCTCCAAAGAAGACATACAGATGGCCAACAGGCACATGAAAAGATGCTCAACATCGCTATTAGAGAAATCCAAATCAAAACCACAATGAGGTACCACCTCATACCAGTCGGAATGGTCATCATCAAAAAGTCTACAAACAACAAATGCTGGAGAGGGTGTGGAGAACACGGAACCCTCCTACACTTTTGGTGGGAATGCAAATTGGTGGAGCCACTATGGAAAACAGTATGGCGGTTCCTCAAAAAACTAAAAACAGAGTTACCACATGATCCTGCAATTTCACTCCTGGGCATATATCCACAGAAAACTTTAATTTGAAATGATACCCACACCCCAATGTTCACTGCATCACTATTTACAATAGCCAAGACAAGGAAGCAACCTAAATGTCCATCGACAGATGAGTGGATAAAGAAGATGTGGTATATTTATACAATGGAATATTACTCAGCCATAAAAAGAATAAAATAATGCCATTTGCACCAACATGGATGGACCTAGAGATTATCATATTCAGTGAAAGAGAAAGATAAATACCATATGATATCACTTGTATGCAGAATCTAAAATATGACACAAATGAACATAACTATGAAACAGAAACAGAATCACGGATATAGAGAACAGACTTGTGGTTATCAAGGGTTGGGGGGAGAATGGGGTAGGGACTGATTGGGAGCTTGGGGTTAGCAAATGCAAACGACTATATATAGAATGGATTAATAACAAAATCCTACTGTATAGCACAGGGAACTATATTCAATATCCTGTGATAAACCATAATGAAAAGAACATAAAAAAAGCATGTATATAAGTAACTGAGTCACTTTGCTGTACAGCAGAAATTAACACAACATTGTAAATCAACTATACTTCAATAAGATACATTTTAAAAATAAAGTCTGTATCTTAGAATAGTGAATATAGCGAGGACACACTAAAAACTGAAGGAATTAAAGAAATGCTTTGGGAAGATGCATTGTAGGAATAAACATGAAGTAATTAAACAGTATTGTTATCTCAAAAGAAACTGTTTGGAAGTAAATGTTTTCTCAGTATTATAGCCTATAGGTTGCAAAGTCAGAGACTATGAGTTCAGATAAGAATCCAGAAGGTTGGTTAGCAGTACCTGATAGGGGCCTTTCCAGCGAGGTTGAAGAGAGCCCTTCTGGAGGTGTCTTTTCCGATAGATGGAATATTCAGGTTGCAAGATGTGATGCTTAAGGTCTTCATTTCCTGAGAGCACAATGTGAAAAGATTACTCTAACTAAACATTGTTATTTTTAACAGAAGCAATTAGACCTGTGCAATATCGAAGTATATCTTCTTTTGTCAACGGTGGGTCAAAAGAAGCAGAAGCCAATTGCATTGGGTGTCTTATGATTATCTCAAAGAGTGAGAGTTTATAAGCTCCAAAAGGAGTGGATCTGAGAGTTAGAAGGACCAATGTCAATGCTTTTCGCCAGGGTATTTGGAATTTTGCCAAGTGGGTCTTTTTTTAAAAAATTTATTTAAGTATAGTTGATTCACAAAGTTGTGTTAGTTTTAGGTGTATAGCAAAGTTATTCAGTTCATATATATATATCTTATTCAGATTATTTTCCCTTATAGGTTATTACAAAATATTGAGTATGGGACTCCCCTGGTGGCACAATGGTTAAGAATCCGCCTGCAAATGCAGGGGATGCGGGTTCGAGCCCTGGTCTGGGAAGATCCCACATGCTACAGAGCAACTAAGCCCGTGTGCCACGACTACTGAGCCTGCGCTCTAGAGCCCGCAAGCCACAACTACTGAAGCCCGTGCGCCTAGAGCCCGTGCTCCACAACGAGAAGCCACTGCAATGAGAAGCCCGTGCACCACAACAAAGAGTAGCCCCCACTCTCCACAACTAGAGAAAGCCACCCACAGCAATGAAGAACCAATGCAGCCAAAAAAAAAGATTTGAGTATAGTTCCATGAGCTAATTATTAGAGAAATGTAAATCAATTGGGCCTTAATACTGGCCTTAGTTCATTTGACTAACCCTAAGGATTAAGGATGTAGCACAGTGAAAGTGTTGTAAAACTGGCCCAAAGCACAGATTTGTCATAGTACCTGGCCAGTAAAATGGGTTCCTTAATCATTTTGAAGTTCAAGAGGAGTTCCCCACGTAGGAATAATATTTTCTAACATAATTTTAGCCACAGAAGAAGCAGTAGCCTGTCTATAAGGGAAAGCTTTGATCCAGTGAGAAAACATACATACCATGAGTAAAACATATTTATATTTATATCCATGAGATGGGGGCACCTGTATGAAATCCATTTGCCAAACCTTGAATGGCCCATTCAGCATTTCAAAATACCCAGGAGCAGTGCAACCAGGTTTCCCCGGATTGTATTCTGGACAGGGGGACAAGCAAGGGAGGCACTCTTTGTGTCTTTATTAGTATTTCCCCAACCAGATTCGTCATGAATACTGTCATTTTGTCAGTGGACTAATGGTTCAATGTATGTACAATCGCAAGAAGCGGGAATCTTAGAATTCCTGGTGGGACCAGTTTGTTATTTAACCTGAACCGGAGTTCTTTTTATCAAACCAACGATTATTAGATCTCCAATATTGTTTTTCCTTTTCTGGGATCAAATGTTGGGCACTTCTCATCAATTTTTCTAGATTGTTATTTTGGGGAGCAGCCCTTTGGACCATAACAGAAATTTGGCCATTAATTCCTTTGAGAGCAGCATTTTGGGCACAAGTATCCGCAAGGTGGTTTCTTTTAGCCTCTAGGGAGTCAAGCCTGCCGCGCCCAGGGATCTCAATAATAGCCAAGGCTTCTGGGTAGAGTATGGCATCTAATGGATTTTGGATATAAGAGCCATTTAAAATTTCTTCCCCATTAGAGGTAGGAAACCTCGTTGTTTCCATAGCCTCCCAAAGTCGTGGACTGCTCCAAAGGCATACTGACTATTGCTATAAATGTTTGTCATTTTGCCCTTGGCTAAATTATAAGCCCGAGTAAGAGTGTATAATGCAGAGTGAAGTAAGTCAGAGACAGAAAAACAAATACTGTATGCTAACACATATATATGGAATCTAAAAAAAAAAAAATGGTTCTGAGGCACCTAGGGGCAGGACAGGTATAGAGACGCAGACATAGAGGATGGACTTGCGGACGCTGGGAGGGGGAGGGGTGGGCTGGGACGAGGTGAGAGAGTGGCATGGACATATATACACTACCAAATGTAAAATAGGTAGCTAATGGGAAGCAGCCGCATAGCACAGGGAGATAAGCTCGGTGCTTTGTGACCACCTAGGGGGGTGGGATAGGGAGGGCGGGAGGGAGACGCTGGAAGGAGGAGATATGGGGATGTGTGCCTATGTATAGCTGATTCTCTTTGTTGTAGAGCAGAGGCTAACACACCATTGTGGAGAGGTTATGCTACAATAAGAATGTTAAAAAAAAAAAAAACGATTGTATAATGAAGCGAGTTGGGCCAAAGTAGCCATTGGTAAAGGTGCTGCCTCAGTGATATCAAAAGGAGTTGCAACAGCTTATCCAGCACTCTATTTACCATTTTCTCCCTTTAAATAAGAATCATCTGTAAACCACGAAAAATCTGCATTGGTTACAGGAATCTCCTGTAGATTATTACCAGGTGTCAGACCATAATACCCTTATGGGTCAATGATGGTCCCCATGTTTGGAGGTGAGTACTCCAAGGGCATTCCCTTCCTTCTCACATACAAAAGGGAAAAGGGAAGCTGATAGAATGTCCAAGGGCAGGTGGTCTCAGTAAGCTTTTCTTTAAGCCTTCAGAAGCTGTGTCATCTTGACCTCCCCCAATTAATGGGGTCAGGTTTGCTGGGTTTCAATAAAGCATATAGGGGCTGTGCCATAAGAGAGAAATTTGGAATCCAATTTCAACAGTAACCAGCTAGCCTGAGAAAACCTTGTAATTGGTTCTTAGTTTTAGGTTTGTAGAAGTTCAGGGTGCCATGAAGGCTCTCAGGATCCAGACGTAGCCACCGTTCTGAGATCAGGTGCTCTAAATATCGAACCTGAGTTTGAGCAGACTGCAGCTTTTCTTTGGAGATTTTATGTCCCTTTTGACCTTAAGTCAAAAGTTTTAGTAAGTGGATGCTGTCTTCCTGTGAGCAGATTCGAGAAGGAGAGCATCTATATGTTGTGAATCACCTATATACTGTAACTAAGTAGAACCCGCAGAAAACTTTATACCAGCTTTCAAGGTTTGTGAAAAGTAAAACGGACTTTCTGTGAAATCCTGGGGCATTCTTCTCCAGGTGTAATGTCATCTTTCCCAAGGCAAAAAGATATTGACTTGCCTTACCAGCTAGAATACTAAAGAATGCACTACATCAATCAATTACAGTGAAAATTTGCTCCCAGTGGGAATGGATGTCAGTAGGAGCAACAGGGCGTCGAGGGATAATGGTGTTGTGTATCGCTCAGGGGTCCTGGACAAACCTCCATTCTTGGCCCTTGGGTTTTCTCACAGGTAAAAGAGGAGTATTACAGGGATTACTGCAAAGGGTGATGATGCCCTGAGCCTTGAAATCTTCTGTTATGGGCTTTATTCTTTGAAGGGCTTCTTTACTTATAGGGTATTGTCTAATTCTGGGGAGAGATTCTGAGATCTATTTGAATCTTTTGTGGGAGGTGCACTGTGAATTTTTCCATTATTAGAGATTTTGCCCGTAAGGGTGGTGATGGTAGCTGATTCAATAGGGAAAAATGATCAGTGTTTCCAGAACCAGCTCCTGTACCTTCAAAGGCAGAGAAAAAGATGTTAATTAATTAACATCTCTTGGTTAATTCTCTTGGTTGGCTAATTTGATGGTTTCTGTCAAATTCTAGAATTATTTCCCCCTTTTGGAAGAAAGAAATCCTGGCATGATACTTTTCCAAGAAGTCTAAGCCTGATAAATGGATAGGGGCAGAGGAGCTAAGGAGAAAGGGTGTGCATCTCTCAAGGGGCCTGAACAAAAGGGAATCGGTTCAGAGAGAGGATCCTCTTGAGGTTCATTGGAGACACGCCCTACTTGAACTGTTTTAGTACTATGAGGCAGGGGCTGCTTCACAGCCGTGGGGTTGAGCACCACGTGGTGTGGCTCCAGTGTCAATTAGGAGAGATTCATTCCACATCTGGAGAGTTGCTTCCTCTGAGCTAAGGAGGAGCACTGGGAAACACGACTGGAGTTGCTCAGAAGTCTGTCACTGAGAGATGGGAGGACATTGGAAAGGCCGGTTAGAAAGCTAAAGATACCTGAAACATTTACATTTGTGACAACCATTTTTCCAATGTCCTGGCTCTTTGCAATAATAGCAGAAACTAGAAGGTTTTGCTTCTGTTTAGGGAACTTCATTTGCCAGAGTTGAAGATAAAGAATTTTAGCAGTCTTTTTGGCGACTCTTCCAGGGTTTGAGCATGCTGATTTGCCAAATTAACTAAATCTGGAGCGAACATACTTTCCCATTCCATCCTGGTCCTTTCAACTAAAAGAGAAAGGTCCTGATTAAGCCCATTAATAAACACGGAGTTAAAGCCTAACCCAGTGGACTTAAACATCTGAAGACAGACAGGATTTTCTTTAAAAATAATCTGAAGTCAACTACAATAGTCACGGACAGCGTCATCGGATTTTTGTGCGCAAGCCTGAATTTTGTTCCCATCAACAGGCTTAGGAAAGGCTGCTGTAATTGCTCAATGGGGGTTTTCAGTGAGTGCTGCAGCCTCTTGACAAGTTAGGGGTTTGCCTTTCTAATCCCTTCCAGTATGTTTCCATTGGGCTAGTTTCATCCAGTGTTTGGCTTGACCCTCACCAGCCAGCATGTGGACTAACACATATAAATCTGAGAAACCATGTTGGTAGGTTTGAATAACTATGTGAAATTCTTCAGCAGACATATGGTGGGGAGGTCCTCGGTTACTTCAGGGAACTCTTTAACTGCAGCTCAGTTTGCCCTTAGTCCAGGGAACCTAAGTACTTGGGGGTTTATATGGCTCCTCAGAAGATTTAACACTAAAGGGGCAGTTTCTGCTAGGTTCAGAGAAGGAGGAAAATGGCACTAGGGGTGGAGCCTGAGACGGAGGAACCCGGGAGACAAACGTGAGGCTTTGGAAGGCATTTTGTCTTTCTTTAAGAGCTCACCTCAATTAATTTAATTATCGTATTCTGCACAGAGGCAATTTTTAGATTCCTGATAATGGTTGGAAGCCTCAAAATACCAATCAAAATAAACATCCAATTGAGTTTGGATATTTCAGAGCCGTGGCTGTGTAACAGATTTTAAGAAAGGTAAGTTTGGAGAGTTCAGAAGTGCCCCATAATGGCCATCAATGTTACTTTTGGTTAAGTCATAAATCAAATAAACACAAGGAGGCACCACGGTTTTTAAACTAAAACTGGCTGGGGCCTGGGAGGGGGGTGTGTGACCTCAAAACATTTAGATAACTGGGATCCAATTTTTCAGAGGTTTTTCCCTAGAGCAAAGAATAATTTTTAATAGCCGGCAGGCCAAATACCAGCACAGTTACAGTAGGAACTGCCTGATTTCAAAAGAAGCGGAAGTGTGAGTACTCACAGCCCAAACAAGGCCTTAACAAATAAAGGACAAAGGCTTTAAACAGATCCTCAATAAAGGATGAAGAGCTTCAAAATGCAAAAAGAGCGGAGCTTGGATCCAGCAAAAACACTTACCCTCAGATTTCAGGGTCAGCAAGAAAGCAGGAGTTCCGTGGGCTCCAAGGTAGCAACACCTGTTTGTTCACCAGCCTCGGAGTTGTCAGCGTTCTTCTCTGGATCTCTGTGGGACCTCCATGTAGCGTTAACTTAAAACAATAGAACAGCAAATTATTTACCAACAAAACGCGTTTATTTGGGAGCAGCAAAAAATGTAACTTGGGACACGCAACTAGGCAAACCACATGCAAATCTGATGAAGTGCAGGAGGGGAAACTCTTATAGAGAAGGGGAAGTTGGGTGGGGCTGTCATAAACAAAAAGTCCATTGGAGGAAAGTGAAAGCTCAAAGTATAGTGGCTTTTCATTGGCTGAGTTGTGACAGTCTCTCATTGGCTGGGCTGTTGTCAGGCGGGAGAAAAATCTTTCTTCCTCCTTCTGGTGGTAGTAAACTAGTATCGCCTGCCAGAGAGGCAAAGTATCTCTCTTCCTGTTGGGATCTGTATTGACATGAGAGCTTCTCCCTCTGGCCTCCTGACTCCATTTTAGTGAGGTTTTACTTTATTAATTTTCACACAGTTTAACAGTAGATCATGTCAGATTTAATGACAAATTTTATTGGGAAAGGAGTTAGTGGATCACCTTACACCCATGAGAATGGCTACTATCAAAAAACCAGAAAATAAGTGTTGGTGAGAATGTGGAGAAGTGGGAGAACACTTTTGCACTGTTGGTGGGAATGTAAAATGGTGCAGCCACTATGGAAAAAAGCAGGACAGTTCCTCAAAAATTGTTAAATACAACTACCATATGATCCAGCAATTTCACTTCTGGGTATATATACAGAAGAATTAAAAGCAGGATTGTAAAGAGATATTTGCCCACCCATGTTCATAGCAGCACTGTTCACAAGAGCCAAGAGGTGGAAGCAACCCAAATGTCCATCAATGGATGAATGGACAAACAAATGTGGTATGTGCATACAATGGAACATTAATTAGCCTTAAAAAAGGAAAGAAATCTTTTCACACGTTATATCATGGATGATCTTGATGACATTATACTAAGTGAAATCAGCCAGTCACAAAATGACAAATACTGTATGATTCCACTTAAGTGAAGTACCGAGAATAGTCAGATTCACAGAAACAAAAAGTAGAAGAGTGGTTGCCAGGATTTAGGGAGAGGGAAGAATGAGGACGTGCTGTTTAATGGGTATAGAGATTCAGTTCTGCAAGACGAAAAAGTTGTGGAGATTAGTTGTCCGACAATGTGAATATGCTTAACACTATTGAACTGTACACTTAAAAACGGTTAAGATGGTAACTTTTCTGTTATATGTGTGTTACCACAATTAAAAAAGATTTAGTGGATTGAGATACAATGCCATTAGTCAAATCATGGTTGAATTGCAACCATGGGTTGGCTATGGATAGAAGAATTGAGGAAAATCAAAACATCCAGTGAGAATCAGTTGGTCATATGGTATTTACCTTATAGAGTATTGCATATTTCATTATCACTTGTAGACCATGTGTTACTTATCCTTTATATGAGTAAAGGGTTGAATACAATTACATATAAATGTATGCACAAACATTTTTGTGCCCATTTTGGCTGTTTACATTTACCAGCACACCACTGTCACGACTGGGCTCCCAGCCATGAAGTGAAGTCTGGGCTGGTGGAAGGATGTTGGCCTGGGTCAGGTGTCTGGGCTGTACTTCAGACTTCTCCACTAACTGTATGGACGACTTGCTTAGGCTCTCGAGTCTCAGTTTCTTCACCTGTTAAATGAGAGCCCGATTGTGTAACCTGATGATTTTCTGCTGTAAAAGTCTATGACCATATCAGATTGTAAGCTCCATGAAAGTAGGGGCTGTTTTTCATCTTTGCATTTCTAAAAGCACTTAGCACGGTTCTTTGCACACTCAACTAATGTCTGTCAAATTAAGTGAGCAAGTAGAATTTTTCTCAAAATGTTGGTGATTCCTAAAGATGACAATGGCTAATATTTCCTTTATTATCATGCAGAAGCTGCTTTATCTCATTGAATCCTTTCAACTCTATGCAGTAGGAACAGTTATTAATCCCATTTACACAAACAAAGTAAAAGAGAGTCCCAATATCTCATAACTAGTAAATGACAAACTAGGATTGGAACTCGAGTCTGTCTCATTTTACAAACCCTCTTAACCACTGCCCTACGCTGCTCCATATCACGAATTAAGGTCTTCTCCACAATTCTGATCATGGGGAAGCCCTCTGCAATGCTAGAAAGTGAACTGACAAGCAATTCTTTACATCCCTTCACTGCAACCCCAGAAGTGTTAACATCTGTGTCTGTAATTAGTGATTTAGTGAGAATCACTTGTAGTTCCTCTAGAATGCAAATTTCTGAGCCCCACCCTAGACCTATTCAATCAGAATTTCTGGGATGAGGCAAGAAAGCTGCATTTTTAGCTGAACTATTATGATTTGAGGGTCCCGAACATTTGGGAGAAGCACCAGCCTAGAGCAGGGACTTTCAAACACTTTAAACCACAATTCACTTAACAAAACATTTTACATTGTGACCCAGCACTCACATACATATTCCAACAGAAATGTGAGCATTTTTGGGACTTCCCTGGTGGCTCAGTGGTTAAGACTCCATGCTCCCAATACAGGGGACCCGGGTTCGATCCCTGGTCAGGGAACTAGATCCCACATGCATGCTGCAACTAAGAGTTCACATGCCACAACTAAGGAGGCTGCAAGCCGCAACTAAGACCCGGCACCGCCAAATAAATTTTGTTTTAAAAAAGGGAGCATTTTGATTTTTTTATTGTGTGCTTTTATTCTATACATGTTCAAAAGCCAGCCACGGGTTTCGCAGTTTGTAATTTTAAGAAACAATGGTCAAACGCTGCTGTAGCTCATAAATTATGCGATAAGGGGTTTTGAGTAAGATTGAAAAATAGGAGTAAACCTACATTCCCAGCAGGAAAAATACTGCTTGACATTTCAAAAAATTAGTTCTCCCCCCCACAGCTTTATTGAGGTATAACTGACAAATAAGATTGTGTAAAGCACACATTATGATGATTGCTACACATAAACTTTGTAAAATGATTACCACAATCAGATTAATAAAACAACCATCACTTCAGAGCAATTATAATGTTATAATAAAAGAGGCATCTAATCAGAGTGGAGGAGTCAGGTAAGGCTGTCCTGAGGAGGTGATACTTGAGCTAAGTCTCAAAGGGTGAATAAAAGCAGAAAGAAGCCGAAGAAGGGGGAAGTAGGACATTCCTGTTAGTTTGGGTGTCCCTGAAAAAAGAGTCTGCCATAAGGACTCAGGACTAGGTAGTTCCGTTGAAGTATGATCCCAAGAAGCTCGAGTGAGGCAGAGAAAGAGAAAGTCAATAAAGGTGGTGTTTTGAGTTCATTACAACTGTGGACCACTGGGACTTTATTCCAGTGAGGACTTTTGAAGGAACATGTAAAATGTACTGAAGAATTGCCTCTCTCAAGGGCAAGTGCTAGGGCAAGGGCATCTCTCCATTGACTCCAGTCCTTACTGGAATATGGTGTGTGTGCGTGCGCGTGCGCGCTGTGATGGAAGTGGAAAATTGCCTATCGTATTTTCTAATGGGTAAATACCCTCATTCTTTGAAGCCAGTGACAAATGGGGTGGAGTTGAGGGGTTCAAAGTATCTTGTACCATTTTCCAAATGTTCTTTATTTCAAGTGAGAGTTGAGGGCAGCCAAAGTTTTCATAGTCTACTCCACATGCCTTACAATTTGGATAGATTCTTTCCACAGTCTCATGTAGGTGATACATCCAATCTCAGTTTTTAGTGTTGTGAATGTTCATTTCTTTCTATGTTCTCTGTTTTAGTGGAAAGTTAAAATGACCTCAACAAGGACTGGTCTTTTGACATTTTGAACCCTTGTATCAGTACAGTGTGTTTACCCTACCATGCATTAGTGTCAGGAGAAATGCTAACATCATCTCCAAAAGGAACATTTGTGGAAATCAACTTTTGCTTGACATGAACATTTTTAGAACTGCTTCTTAGGTTCTGTTATTCCTAGTTTTTATGAGTGCAAGAAACTAATCAAGAGAATTATATTAATTTATTTAATTTATTATATTAATTTATTTATATATTTATTATTTTTATATATTTATTAATTATATTAATTTATTTTATTAATTTATTCATGATCAGTAAGCAATAGAGACCAAACTGAATCTCATAATTGTAAAGTTAAAAAGAACACTGTGTACTAACACAGGAAAAATATGTGGATAGGAAAACGATTTACTAATTTAAAAGCAAAATATAAAATTTAGGAAATTTAACAATAAAATGTGATTTTCTCATAATTATCTCTCAAATTACATAATCAGATTAGAATAACTTTCTTTGTAATAAAGTAATTTGTAATAGAAGCTAATCTCTTGGATTAAAAAAATGAGTTTTAGTGTAAGAGAGATAAATCATTGCTGGAAATATTATTCAAATATTAACTTGTTCTTTATTCTTTATATTTTCCAGATTTTATTTTCAAAATGGCTAATTTATAGTATTTTCCCCAAACATTACAATTTGTCATTTCTTATTCTTTCAAAGTTGGCATGCTGAGATTCCTTTTTAACAGATTCAACTCGTTACTTCAAAATGAAAAACGGTTTAGGTGCAAACAGCTTCTTCAAAGTACAGGTTTATGAGATTTAAGAGCTTTTAAAAACAGCACTGACAAGAAAAATACTCTAAATAATAATTGAAAAATATATATGGAATACTCCATCACTAGTACGTATTTTAAAGTCTAAATTTATTTTTTCTCTTCTTGGAACTTTTGAGTAAATCCATTTTTTGTGGATATCATAGTCTTAAATAATTAAAGTATATTTTTCAGGGGTAAAAACCTTTGACTTCATTGGAGCTTCTATGTCTCATGGAATTAGGTTTAAGGCTGTAACTGCTCAGAAATAATCATTTACACAATTCACTGACCTCTATATCAAAAGACACCTTATAAATGCACATCATGACACTGTAGAGAATGAACATGCAAGTACTGTCAAATCTATTCTAAAAATGGAGGC